AAAAGACGCGACGCAGCTGCCTCACGTTTGCAATTTTAAAACCTGTTGTTCCAAATCAGATGTCATTATTCGCAACTAGGCCGTTAACACATTTTTCGTGCATGAGGGTGATAGAACACTGTCAATATTTGACTAGGGAGTATTCCTAATTTTAGAACATCACGTATTCATAAGCTACTCAAGCCACATGCTCAATTCTGTGGTAATTCGACCTAGTCGCTGTTAGTCCACACAATAATTCACAAATGGCATTTAATTTGGCTGTGCGACATATAATTAGCTTTGAACCACACTTGGGCTGCTGAATTGTACCTGGTCTAATTACGCTACTCTGCTAACAGCGATGATGAACAAGACTAAAGTCGGCAAGCACACAACCGTTTACCTCAGATTCCAAACAAGTTGGTGTCCTTGTGTCAACTCTGTGGATGTGTTGTGTGCTGACATCAAGACGTAGGTGACAATAATTCCATATGGTAGAAATCCAGGATAATCGTTCGCGAAAATTAGGCAAGATCAACGTATGTGGAAAGAGCGAGGTTGCATCTGAGATTGGAGCGACTGGACTGAGAAATTTGAATCAAGGTGGTTCATAGAACATTCAGTGAGGCCATTTTCCTTTTGTGGCAACAATTAAGGATCAGCAAATTAAGTAACCGTTATATAAGTATAGTGTAGCATCAAATAATCTAGAAACTGTCTCAGAAAAATCGTTCACACAAAGCTGAGTTGATGGCCATAAAATGAAGGCAATGGTTTGGGTGACTGCAGTTATTTTTTAATGTTTCATGAAATGCTCTGAAAGTGATGTCTCACGAAGCCGAGAGTTACAAAGCATTTATTGATAGTCTGATACAAAATAGACAATTTATTGAACAAAGGCAGCTGAAATAGCATACGGAGGATTTCGTCCGGGCTAATCCCAGTTTGAGTTATTGCCGGATAAACCCAATCAGGGAATGATTCTGGATTATAATCAGCACGATCAATTTGCACGATGCAAATCGGCAGACCTAAAAATCAAATTCATCTTGGAAGTTATGTCAGAAGACCTCAATTGTCGAAGACAAGCATCTGAACTGAGACATAATGTGGTATGCAAAAAAAGTACATCAATTTGCACTAAGAGAGAACATTGAAGAAGATGTGCTTGTGATGGTTCTTTACAACCACAAATGAAATCCGCAATTGATGTTGTTATAGACTTTAGTCAAGTTCAGCATGCGTCCATAATTTTGACTTCTAGAGAGTGGCTTGTGCATAAAGAAATGTGTTCGCATCACACTCCACTTGCCCATGAAGGATTGCAAATGCGTTAAAGTAGATCGGAATGCACGTGTCCTCTTTAGTGATAAAGCACGAACTAGAGCCTCGATCAAACCAGACACAAATCATTCTGATAAAGAATTAGGATTTACTTAGCAAGACTTCCCGAGATGCTGCAAGCACAGCGTAGTATAGCATTGTCCCATATATCTGCTCTTCTGTGATACGTGATGTGGAGTATATGGTTAAAGGTGAAGAGGAGTGCCTTGAGAAATGTTGCTCTTGCATTGTTTCCTCAATCACCACCTCCTCGTTCTGCTCCAGTAATTCCGCCAAGGCATTTAACGTGAAAGCCAACTGCTCTTGTTCCACCTCTGAATCCAGCATATCTTTAAAGATATAACGTACAAAATACATTCTCAGATAAGCGTGATCAAGATACCATCGTGTGCTTAATTACGAAATAGACAGCACACAACATGAACGGGCATTCATGGTTTGCGATTTGACTACATCTTTCTAAGCCA